AACCATTTCAATCATCAATATATTAAAGCATTATGGTTTAGGAGGGGAAACTGACTTATATGTAAATATAGCACAGTGTGATAACTGCAATATCAGAAATGTACAATATAGAGAAGTACTAAAGTGAAGGGACTGATTAATTTTTGAAGGATGGAGGATATACAGGACTTAACTGAAGGTGATTACCAAGCTGAGCCTTAAAAGTAAATAGGAATTGGTAAAGTATTCAAGGAGAGTATAGTAGTCCAGGAAGAAGGAATGGGAGCAGGCAATTTAAAGCCTATCTACAATAATAGAAAAGAGTTTTAAAAAATTAAGTTATATCTTGGATGAATAATATTAATATATATTTATGCATTGGTTGACATTTGGTAAACCCTATGAATAATGATTTTAGCATTATTTGATATAAAACCACCAAACAGAGGAACATCATTACAGTTTTAATTTGAAAGTTAGCGTCATCTACTACGCTTCATTCTGAAAATATTGATTTGTGAAAGCATCACTAAAATGGTTTTTTGTTGCCTGGTATAGGCAAGACAGAAATTTCTCCCTAGACTCTTCCCTTAATATTATGTCCATTCTCTGGTTTTAGGTGAAAGGCATTCCTTCTAAATGGCTCAAAATCAGTGATTAGCCTCAGCTCTGCCCTCCTTTTCTGAATCAGGCCTAGAGGTTAAACTTGTTTTCTTTCTCCCATTTCAAGACCTTGGCAAAGCCTAGTTGTTCATAGTCCTCAGGAGGGACATTGCTAGGAAATGGGCTGTTTTTTTATGCCCAGGACAGGTACTGTGCTGTGCAAATAGCCACTACAGGAGATAATACCAGCAGCTTGCTAATAACTTTGAACTCCAAGGATTCTGTAAGCCTTCTCCTAGACAAAGCAGCGCTATTTTATGATACAGGTGCCTTTTTGCTTTTGTTGAAATAACACATTGTTTTCCACATGAGACTTGTCTTGTTCGGGCCCAGGGTTTAGCTGAAATAAAAACGGGGAAAATAATAAACTTTAGTAGGCTGTTTTGTGCTATGTATGTGTGAACCCTCAGCACTACATAAAGTAAGGTAATAGCATTGCCTTAATGACTGTGCTTCAGAGTGTGGTACGTAACCACTCATGGAAAGGAATCTCAAAAAGATCAGTTAAAATGATACAAGCACAAAGATGTGGAGCATGAATTGGAGCTAATGGAGGGAGATCAGAAAAGGATCGAGTTAAAGAAAAGAAATTAAGGTCAGTTATCTTTAAGCTGCATTTAGGAGCTGAAGTTTAAGTAGGAGGGAAGGGAAAATGTTTTTCTATAGTTGGGAGTCATAAAAGGAGAGGTAATGGTCTAGAATTAGGCACATTCAGGTAAGGCAAGAATTAATAGTTGAGCAGGAAGTTACCTGAGTCATCCTAATTAGGACTGTTTAAAAATAGGACAACTAAAATACGGGTGGGATTAACCTTTATAATCATGCCCCTGAAAGGAGGAGGGGAATTAACCCCAAGACACATTCCAGTGCAGTCTCTTCCTTGTTTGCAGCCTCCCTAGGTGCTCTAACACCTTCTTTGTTCTCTGCTTCTATCTCTGATATTTGTAGGCATTCTGTATTTTCCCCAATCTGGGCAACCCAGTCGTTTACACCAAAATGTACCATCCCTTGTCTTTACAGATTTATCTAATAAATCATTTCTTGTAAAAAATCATCCCAAATTTTTCTAGAATTCTCTGTGACTCAAAGCTATTGCAATAAATCCGAATTAATTCTACTTCTAAGTATCTGTGCTAATGGGTAATTTATCCAAATTGGAGAGCTGTTAGTACATCCATGAATTTAAGGACCTAGGTACCTTCACAGGAAGAAAAAGACATAGACTCAGCCCTAGCAGTCTTGAATCAAAAACAGAAGCCTTCAAATTTGTGACTTTGATCATATATATAATGACTCAGGGACAAGAATATACATTAATTGACATGGCTATACCTATTTCTGGAAATACTTACAATAAAGTAAATTAGAGTCAGTGGATGTATAGAAGCAAATGACTTAATCTAGTTGTAAATTATTATTAAAAGATGACAGTATTACTTCTTTCCAACTGAATGGCACAGATTTTGAGTTTCTTCCTTTCTTCTCATTAAGCACAATGTTTTCTATTCTATTCCTGAAGCTTTCTAAGAGAAAATATGCAGAGCCTAGAAGAAAAACCAAACTAATTGCTGATGGTTATAAAAAAATGGCTTGTTTTCAACTTGAGCCTTAAATAAGTTTTACAGTGTTTCAATTACTTTTTGTTTTTCCCTGTAGAATAGATAATACAGAGGGGTTCACTTTGTGCTCTTTCTCTCTTTCAGTATCACTGATATTTTATATTTCTAAATTAGTTATCATGACGGTTGTGCAATTCATTTTTACTTTTCAGAACTTATTAGAATCCTTCAATCCCTCTTATGGATTGTTTCAATAACATTTCTTGTAACATGCATGTGCATGTGTGTATATATACACAAAACAAGCATCATTTCTCCCTCATATGTTGGCTACATCATTCAAATGTCCGATCTAATTTTATAACTTCCACCTTCTGGGTCCAAGAAATGTTAAGTAACTTGAAAATATTTTTGAATTATATTTTTGTTTTTTTCCTTTTGTTGTTAGAAATTACATTTATTTACTTTTTTTAATTAAAGCATAATTGACATACAATCTTACATTAGTTTCAAGTATACAATGCAGTGGTTCACCAGTTACCCACATTATTAAATCCTCACCCCCACTAATGCAGTTATTAATATGTCAACATAGAAAGATGCTACAGAATCATTGGATATGTTATCCATGCTCTACTACCATCCCTGTGACCAACTTACATTAATATTGAGAATTTTTGTGCCCTTTTATCTCTCTCACCCTTCTCATCCACCCACCCTAACCCCTCCCCCATGGTAACCATGAGTAACTTCTCAGCGTCTATGAGTCAACTGCTATTTTGTTCATTTTATTTTGTTTTGTTTTTAGATTCCACAAATAAGTGAAATCCTGCGGTATTTGTCTTTTCCTGCCTGGCTTATTTCACTGAGCATGTTATCCTCTGGGTCCATCCCTGTTGTCACAAATGCAGGATTTCTGTCTTTTTTATGGATGAATAATACTCCATTATGTACATGTACCACATTTTCTTTATCCATTCATATCTTGATGGACACTTTGGTTGTTTCCGTGTCTTAGCTATTCTAAATAATGTGGCAATAAGTATAAGGGTACATATATCTTTTTGAATAAGGGATTTTGTTTTCTTTGGGTAATTTCCTAGAAGTGGAGTTGCTGGATCATATGATATTTCTCTTTTTAGTTTTTTGAGAAACCTCCATCCTGCTGTCCACACTGGCTGCACCAATTTACATTCCCACCAACAGTGTAGGAGGTTCCCTTCTCTCCACATCCTCACCAACAGTTCCTATTTCTTGTCTTTTGGTTACTAGCATTCTAACTGGTGTGAGGTGATATCTCATTGTAGTTTTGACTTGCATTTCTCTGATGATTAGTGATCCAGAGTGTCTTTTCATGCACCTGTTGGCCATCCGCATTTCTTCTTTGGAAAATTGCCTGTTCAGGTCCTCTGCCCATATTTTAATCAGGTTGTTTTTGTAGTGTTGAGTCATATGAGTTCTTTATATGTTTTGGATGTTAACCTTTTATCAGATACATAATTTACCATTTGGTAGAAATCAGATTAATTATAACTTTAATGACTGTAAAAGAAATAGGGTGCTACAAAACTGAAATAAGCATGCCTAAGCCAGCCCAGGGTAGGTTACTCAAGAAAGTCCTAAGACCTGATGTGGGCAGGAGGGAGCTAAGCAGAAGAGGTGGGTCAAAATCATTCCAGCAAACAGAACTGACCATGGAAGGGCCTTTAGGTGTCAGGAACAGAAGTATGGCAGGAGCAGGCTGAGCTGGGGATGAGCAGCTACAGGAAGCGAGGGAGCTAGGTGGGACCTGATGGGACAGTTGGAGGCTGTTAGGGATTTGGAATTCATTCCTAATGGGAGGAAATAGTCATCTAATAATTTAAAATAGAAGAATGAGACATTCAAAGCACACTCTGAAAAGGCAGTTCCAAGTACACTGTGAAGAACAGATCGGATGGGAGCTGACAGAGACGCCAGGGGATGAGGCAGCCCCTGTAGCTGAGATGCCTGGGTTTGGATCTGGCTTCTATTTGTTAACTCTGTCATTTTAGCAAAGTTTGTCAACTGCCCTAAATTTCTGTTTCTTATTTATATAATGGACATAATAATAATAATAATAATAATACCTGAATTGTTAGCATTGCTGTGAGAACTGAATGAGGTATAGCCTCTGGTGCACAGTGTTAATTCTAAAAAACTTGGTGGTGACTTGAACTAGGCAGGTGGCAGTGGGGATGGAGAGTAGAAGGTTTAAAATTCTTAGAAGACTACCTACAGGACTTGGTGGTTAGCTAGATGTAGGGACAGAGGGAAAGAACTCAAGTGTTGGCAGTTTTAGCAAAACATAGGATGCTCACTTAAATTTGAATTTCAGATGACAGTTTTTTAATATGCTAATATGACATGGGACATACTTTTACTAAAAATTGTTTATCAGAGATTCAAATTTAACTGGCCAAACTGTATTTTAGCTCCCACCTTCCCAAAGACGTTTCAGGGCTCTAGGCTGAACAAATGAATAGATGGTGGTTACGATTAGAGGAAGTCCGGTTTTTAGTGGAAAGATCACAAAATAGGTCTGACATGCATTGAATTTGAGATGCCTGGGAAAACCAGATACAACGTAAATTATCTACTCAGCCTCTCTTTGGTCATAATCGACCCACTACTTAAGAATAACAAAAACCACATCTGTATTGGGAGTTAGATAGTCTCTCAATACAGTGTTTTGTTTTTTGATATAATAAGAATATTATCTTTTTAAGAAGAGTCTGGATAAAAGGTATATAGAAAACCTTTTCATCTTTCTTTTTCCAGGTTTTTATACTTCCCCAGGCAATGCCACTGGCTGCCTGCCATGTTCGTGTCATGCAACTGGGGCAGTGAATCACATCTGTAATAGCCTCACTGGTCAGTGTGTTTGCCAAGATGCCTCCATCACTGGTCAAAGTTGTGATCATTGTGAAGATCTGTACTTTGGATTTGATCCTCAGACTGGAAGGTATACATTAGTGAAAATTAATAATTAAACATTTTATTCAATTTTATTTTCATGTACTTTTATTTTTTTAGCTAATGGTGTTATTTTGGCAGTATCTTTTGTAAAAAGTATTATTTGTTTGTTCTCCTTGGTTTGCTGATCTATTTTTGACTCTTTGATATCTGTTAAATGGAATGGTAATCTTTTAATATTTTCTAGAATTCCAACATTCAGTTTGCTATAGATCGATAGATGAACCTGGTATTAGGATTTGGGAATTCTTAACTAGATGACATTATTTTCCCTCAAAGAACTTATAATACAGATGTAGGGAAAGACAGGTAAAGAGATTGTCTATAAAGGAAAATATACATACACACACAAAATAAGGGTTAGGATAAGGAGCATATGTGTGTTTATACTTTGTTCTACATGGCCTCCATATTCATTATTTATTTATTTATTATTGCATCCATTTATGTTGTCCATGCCTTTCTAATTTCGGTTTAAAGACTGGCAGATGAGAAATATATCTTTGTATTCAGTGACATGATTTTTTTCCTTGGTGTGTAAAGTGCATTCTGAAATTAAACACTTTCCAGCTTACACTGTCCTTAATGCTCTACTTCTCCTTTCCTGTATATCTGGAGGCATTTGCTCTCACACATTTGTGTTCATGGCTGTCCTTTTGAATGTGTGGCTAAAATGCCAATTCCATGTATGCCTTTTTGTCTAATCTGATTATAAATTTGTCGAGGATTGGGACTATATGGGTGAATTATTTGGCATTCCTATCCCTGGGCAACTAGTATTGTGTTCCGCGAATGAGCACTAGTAAAATCTGGTTTTCAATATGTGTGTGTATGTTTACAGAATTGCTAATTATTAAAGGATTTCAGATTATCTGGACTCTTTTCAATGCATTGCCTCCCTTTTCGACTCTTCTTCTCATCGATGCCTGTCTTTTGGCCATTAAACTTATTAGCATCTCAGTTAGAATGTAGACAGGGTGGCCGGTTGAATTATTTAAAAAGAACTCAAGCTAGTTCATTTGGCTTTCTACTAAAATTGAATTTGATTAAAAATCTTTAATGTGATATTTAAAATAGTTATTAAAACAATTTTTGTTCTTATTACATACCTCTTATTTTAAACCATGCTGCTCCCCTTCTGTTACTATCAGAATATTGTGTTGGGAATCTGAGGACAATGCTATTCTTTTCTACAAATGCTAACTCACTCCAAATGAATATAGAAAATACATGGTGCAGTAAACATTAAATAAGTAAGTAAATTAAACATTAACTGGATTTGATAGTAAGCCCAGAAGCCAGATATTGCACATATGACCTCCTCTATGTATTTTTTATTGAAAGACCATCTCACAAATTCCCTAGATGGAACACAGGGGTTGGTTTGTGTCACTCCTGGCTACTTCTGTAATTAGATTTTCTATCTTTTCCATGGTCTTTCTGATAATATTTAATTTGCAAAAGAAAAATATCTTCCCCAATCAGCTTTCCTCCTTGGAATATGCATACCCATTTATGGCATGGTGTGCGGGTCTCACCCATTTTTGCGTCTATTGTTCCCATTCCTCTTCCTAGTGTTGTCACCATCCCAATTGAATCCAGGATCAAGAACTGCTTCCAGAAGTGCATTCTGTCACCTGCCATTCTGCAGGAGGACTGGCTAACGCTGGAGTTAGACTCCTTGAGTTAAAAGCTGGGTTGAAGTGTTTACCTAAATTGATGAGGAATAGAAAGAGCCAAAAAAAAAGGTGTAAAACTACATTATTAGAAGGTGCTGATGCTAAAATCAAGAAAGCAGAACTCAGTAAAATAAAAGGAATGAATGCAGGTTGGAATCCAGAAGATAGAAAACCAAAATGTGGAAAGCTGGATAGATTCTAAAGACTAAAAGATCCAGTGTCAGTGTGGGCTCAAAGTAAAAAGAGGTATGACAAGTTTTATATAATACAATTGTATATCTTTATGCATATTAGCTGACTCATGATTATATTGAGTCAGGTATAAGGAATTACCTTTTTAAAATTATGAATTGTCCTTTGGAATGTTACTTTTCTTCCACCATCACTGGATGTCCTTTAGATTCTCAAGTTTTCACTCACTGAGAACCTGAACGGGAGGATGGCTTTTGTCCCCCGATTCTCATTCATTTATTTACCATTCCAGCAATGCATTTTCATGGCCACACCAGGATTTCTTGATCATTCAGAACTTCTCTACTTCTTGAATCTTCCTAATCCCAGAAATGCTACTCTGTGAGCACATCACATCTTTCCAATCTTTAGCTCCAAACTATCACCTTATCTGCTCTTAACTTCTCTCAAAATCTCTAGTCCATATGCTTACCTTATCTTCTTTATTGCAGCCCCAATGCTAATGTTCTCACTATTCCTAGTCTGGGTTGAAACAACTTTAATCTGACTCTCAAGTAACATGGCTGCTGTGAGGTCCCTCCCTTCTGTGGTACCTTGGGTCAGCTCTGGGGGTGATTGCCCTGCTCCTGCCCTGAGCCTGGGAGGACTTGAAGGAAGTCCAGGTTCCTGTGCCCATGGAACTCCCGTTTCGGGTGTACTTATTCCCTCCCTTTCTCTCCCCCTTTAAACTAGTGCCGGTCTCTTCCATTTCCTGCTCTTGCTTCAAATCTAGCTCTCTGATTCACAAAGTAGAGAGAACTGGACATAAATATCTTCAGATTATCTTCTTTCCACCTATAATCTGCCCACATTGTCACACATCCTAAATTTTTAATCTAGTCATCAAAGAAAAAATATTTTTTCCCCTAAAAATGGCCCACTGCCTGTTTTTGATGTGTTCCCTCCTGTATTTTACTTACTTGTCCCTTTCTCACTCTGAATTTTGATCCATCAGATCCTTCCTTTATTGTAACTTAGATCTCTCTCCACTGGCTATATCATAACTGTCTATGAATATGCTCCTCATCGCTGTCTGAAAGCCCCTTTCTATGACTCTGTCCTGCTCTATGGGTTCTGAAAGCTGCTCTGTAATCTCTTACTGTTTATTCACCTACTAATATTTAAAAAGAGTTGGGTTTCTTTTCTACTTCTTCATTTTCCTTACTCCCCATTTATTCCTCAGTCACCATATTTGGGGCGTACATTAGCAGAACTTGTGAAATGTGGACAGCCAAGAACTAGTTAGATGATCTTAAAATCCTCAGGCAAATCAAAGAAAGGTATATAACTAGATAAAATAGATAAAAATGGATTAAGAGAAAGGTAAACTGAAGAGGGTTTCACTGGAGGGAGAAAGGAGGGGTCAGGGGTGCCTTCCAGTGAATTGGTCTTACTAGATTCCTTGCAAAGAGATATGCGTGTCCTGCAGTTGAAGTCATGGATATCTCTCTTAGACCTAGCAAGTCTGAATAAGGAGAGAGAGTCTGTATGGGTTTGGATAGGCAAGCTGAAAGACAGTGCTTTCTATATTTTATGCTCTCAGAATTTGGCAGGGCTAGGAAGAGAGTATATTTCTCTTCTCAAAATGAAATGAGATCACAAGAGAGACAGCAGCACCTATCTATGCAAAGGGTCACTGGAAGGCTAAAAAGGCCTAAGAAGAGAAAAAGGTGAGATTCCTGTAGGCTACAAATTAGTTACCAGCCAACTGGCATATGGAAGCGTCTGACTGCACTAAAACCATAGGTGAGAGACACTATGGGAGGGAGAGAGATCAGTGAAGAAGTCACACAAGTACCGCCCGCAGTAAAAAGTAAGTGTCGTTCCTACGTGAGACTTGAGAAAAGCAGCCTGCTTTGTGTTGTGCTGGTCCGGGGTTCCTAACCTCCCTCCAGCCTGTGCGCAAGAGAAGAGGCCCCCCAAACTACCATCTCTGGTCCTGGACATGCTGCCCTCATCACATTCTAGCCAGAAAAAACAGAAGTTTGTTCTTTAAAATGTCTATCCTTTGAATAAAGATTAGTGGGTTGACTAATGCACTAGACTAGACAGTCTATTTTCTGAATTGAGCCTAGGTTTATATTCCTTTTCAGCTTTATTGAGGTATAATGACAAAAAGTGTATATATTTAAGGTGAACAACTTGATGTTTGATATACATATATATTGTTAAATGATCACTACCATCAATCTTATTAACATATCTATCACCTCATGGAATTACCATATTCTTTTCTTCTTTCTGTTCTCTTTTTTCTTTTCTTTACTCCTCTCTTTTCTTTTCTCTTCTCTTCTTGTGTGTGGTAAGAATGCGTCCCCTGCCCATAACTGCTGTCTATTTTTCTACTCTCTGTTTCTATGAATTTGACTTTTTTTTCTCTTTAGATTCTACGTATAGGTGATACCATGCAGTATTTGTCTTTCTCTGTTTGGCCTATTTCACTTAGTATATTGTCCCCTATGTTCATCTATGTTGTTGCAAATGCCAGGATTTCCTTCCTTCTTGTGGCTGAATAATATTCCATGTGTGTGTGTGTGCATGTGTATGTATACATATTTATACACAGCATATTGTCTTTATTCATCCATTGATAGACAGATTGTTTTCCTATCTTGGCCATTGTGAATAATACTACAGTGAACACGGGGGGCACAGCTATATATCTCAACCTTGTAATTTCATTTCTTTTGGATATATATCCAGAAGTAGGTTGCTGGATATATGGTAGTCCTCTTTTGAATTTGTTGAAGAACTTCTATATACTTTTTCATAATGGTCACACTAATTTACATGTCCATTAGTGGTGTGCAAGGGTTACAGTTTCTCCATATCCTCACCAACACCTATTATCTTTTGTCTTTTTGATAAAAGCTATTCTAACAGTTATGAGGTGATAGCTCATTTTAGTTTTGATTTGCATTTCCCTGATGGCTAATGATGTTGCACATTTTTTCACGAACCTGTTTGTATGTCTTCTTTGAAGAAATGTCTATTCAGGTCCTTTTCTCATTTTTTAAAATCAGATTATTTGTTTTTCTGCTATTGAATTTTGTGTATTCTTATATATTTTGGTCATTAA